ATTTGCTTCATGTATTTTGAAGCCCTGCTATTAGATGAGTAAATGTTTGAGATTGTTATGTCCTCATGACGACTTGACCTATCAGCATGAAATAATCAGCTTTGTCCCTAGTAATAGTTTTCATTCTGACATCTATTTTGTCTGATATTAATAGAGCCACTGGAGCTTTGATTTGTATTAGCATTGGTTGTCCTCTTTGTGGAACTGTGAGTCCATTAAACCTCGTTTTTCTTTGCACATTACCCAGTCTCGGGTATGTCTATCAGTGCTCTTTCGTTGTCTCGAAGGCACTCTGTTTCTGACCAGGCCAGTTTCCCTTGGGTCCTTTTTAAGGAGACCCTGAGGAATGGCTTTCTCCTTTGCTTGGTGGCTTGGTCTGTCTGTCCATCTGCATGGCAGACGCAGCCAGTCTGGTGCTCCTGAGCTCCTGTCTCACCATCCTATTCCAGCTGCTCTCATGGGGTATGAGCCTCTTCCTGCAACAGCAGGTCAGAATACTTTGGGGCAACAAGTAGGTCAGCTTCCTGGTCCCTTTAGTTATACTCAGTACATTGCCAGCATTGATGGGAGGTGCAGGTTGTTCACACACTTAACTCCAAAACTGCTTGGGAATCCACGGTCAAATTTTGCAGTAGTTAGGACCTGGAAATGTACAGAAAGTTGTCTCATCTTCCTTTGACCAACATATCATGGAGATAAGTCGAGAGATAATCACTCGTTCTGCTGCTACCCCCATCGCACATCCCTTCTGCATGATTACTGAGATTTATGGTATAATTCATTGACAGAGAGTCCAAGTACTGTGAACTCTGTGACTCCATAGCAAACATCTACTGGGAAGAAGGCATCCTAGGATTTCTCATCTGTCTTGTTCCTCACCTCCTCCTAGGCAACATCATTTCTTTATGGCTCTGTAACTCGCTGGCCTACCTCATCAATACCTATGCACTCTGGTGGGGCATGGTGGCTTATGCCTGTAATCCTGATACTTTGGGGAGGATGAGGTAAGAGGATCGCTTGAGCTCAGGAGTTTGAGACCAGCCTGGACAACAAAGTGAGACCTCATCTCTATGAAAAAATTTCAAAAAACTTAGCCAGGCATGATGGCATGCACCTGTAGTCCCAGCTACTACGGAGGCTGAGGTGGGACAATTGCTTGAGCCCAGGAGGTCAAGGCTGCAGTGAGCCATGATTGTGCCACTGCACTACAGCCTGGGCAACAGAGAGAGAGTCTCTCTCTCTCTTTCTCACACACTCACACATGCGCGCGCACGCATGCACGCACTGGACAGTGAGGTTTCTATCAGGAATGAAATGAACAGTATGAAGAGTTATTCTCAAGCTGTCACAAAACTGCTTGCCAGTATGTTGACCTATCCCTTTGTGCTTGTCTCTAATCTTATGGCTGTCAACAGCCATGGGCTTGCTGGTGGACCCCTTTCTTCCTTCCCAGTATATACTACTTGCATAAATTGCCGGTGCATGCTACAAAAACAGGGAAATATAAGCCGAGGAAATAGCTTGTTTTTCTCAAAGGATCCCTTTGGAAGACTTGTTTTGACCTGAGAATGTGAATTTGAAGATGTAGGGTGAGAGAGTGACATTTCTATAGTCCCAGATGCACCAAATTATGGGAGACAATGTTGATTTCTATATAGTGTTCCACACTTTTATTTTATTTTATTTTTTAGACAGACTCTCGCTCTGTCACCCACACTGGAGTGCAGTGGCGCGATCTTGGCTCACTGCAATCCCCACCTCCTGAGTTCAAGTGATCTTCTCACCTCAGCCTGAGTAGCTGGGATTACAGGCAGGCACCACCACAGCTGGCTAATTTTTTTGTATTTTTAGTAGAGACAGCGTTTCACCATTTTGGCCAGTCTGGTCTCGAACTCCCGACCTCAAGTGATCTGCCCACCTTGGCCTCCCAAAGTGTTGGGATTACAGGCCTGAGCCACTGTACCTGATGACCTTTTTAAATGGTCATTTAGTCTTGGGGAATGAATAAATAAGTAAATAAGTGTCAGAGGGACGGCTGCCGGCCCCTGCAGGAGACAGGCAGAGTTGATGCATGATTGCTCTGCTGGTTGCTCTGTCTCTGTGAAGAAGTCAGAAGCTCCAAGAGAGAGAAACTTCTGCCTTCAGCAAAGGAGACGCCTCTCGTCACTCTGCCTCCCTTAGACACTGATTCCAGGGTTGTGGGAAGTAACACTCAGTAGGTGCTCAAAATAGTCTCTAGCTGTTCAATACATGTTAACTATTGTTGCTCCCATTTTACAGGTAAGGAAACTGAGGCCGAGTGAAGTGAGATCGCTTCTCCCACGCCACACAGAGGGAGAAGAGCCGACACTGCCCTCTCCCAGGGCCTGGGCTCATAAGCACCATGGTGGTCGGTGTCCTCTGAAGGATAACAGCCCTTCAAAGGATGCTACAGTCCTCCTTCAGCCCCTCTTCCAGGCTGAATGTCCCCATCCCATCCATCAGGCTCCAAGGTGAAGGCGGAAGTGAGGCCAGAGGGGCAGTACTGTACCAAGTGAGGGCATGAGGAAGAGATGATGACATAGGCTGTCACTTTTACCACTACACGAACATTGGAGCAGCTGCTTTGTTTCTTCAAAGAACCTTGAAATAGCGAGGGGTTGGAGGAGGATGGTAAGGCATCCACAGAGTGACTGCCTGGTGCTAACATACCCTGGACACATGGATGTGGCCATTGTCCATTCAATTATTCTTTTTCTAAAGAAATAGAACTTAAAGTAACAAAGCATAATATCTAACTACTGCTTACACTGGTTTACAAAAGTAACAAAATGTAGGCCAAGAGTGAAAGTAGCTTGGCCAGGCACGGTGGCTCACGCCTTTAATCCTAGGACTTTGAGAGGTCAAGGTGGGTGGATCACTTGAGGCCAGGAGTTCAAGACTAGCCTGACCAATATGGTGAAACCCCATCTCTACTAAAAATATAAAAATTAACCAGGTGTGGTGGCAGGCACCTGTAATCCCAGCTAACTGGGAAGCTGAGGCGTGAGAATTGCTTGAACCCAGGAGGCAGAGATTGCCGTGAGCCGAGATTGCGCCAGTGCACTCTAGCCTGGGTGACAGAGCAAGACTCCATCTCCAAAAAAAAAAAAAAAGTGTGAAAGGTGGCAAATATCTATACAGTCGTGTTGCTATCCACTAAGCCCACTAAGCTTTGTCTGCAGTCACTGTGACATCTACCAGCAGTTCTCTCCCCCACTCTCCTCTGTTATGCCCCCTACTTCTCTCCCCTCCACCCACCAGCTAGGGCAGAGAAATACTCAGGAGCCTTCCCAGGACTCACACATGACAGTGAGTACTAGGCTTAGTGTTGGCTTCAGGACAGCTTAATATTAACACCCCTCCAGGCAGCTGTTCTGCAGCCTTTGATTTCCTCTGGAACATGATTTAGGGTGGGGAGAACACCTTGCTCTAGGAAGGTGTTGATTAGAATGTGAGGTGCTCCCCACCTTCTAGGAATTTTCTGACAGATGAGCCACTTTTATTGAGGGGACTGAGGCTTCAGGTGGGCTGGGTGAAAAGAGGTCAGGAGTTTGAGACCAGCCTGACCAACATGGTGAAACCCGTCTCTACTAAAAATGCAAAAATTATCTGGGCTATGGTGGCGTGCGCTTGTAGTCCCAGCTACTCAGGAGGCTGAGGTATGAGAATCGCTTGAACCCAGGAGGTGGAGGTTGCAGTGAGCCGAGATCATGCCACTGTACTCCAGCCTGGGCAACAGAGGGAGACCTTGTCTCAAAAAACAAAAAAAAAACAAAAAAAAAAAAAGAGAAAAGAAAGAAAAGAGGTGGCAGACACACTCCATAGAGGAGAAATTCCCACCCACATGCTGTTTTGTTTTGTTTTGTTTTGTTTTGGAGAGACAGGGTGTTACTCTGTCTACCAGGTTGGAGTACAGTGGTGTGTTCACAGCTCGCTGCAGCCTCAACTTCCTGGGATCAAGTGATCCTCCTGCCTCAGCCTCCCAAGTAGCCAGGACTACAGGTGCGTGCCACCATGAACTGGCAAAAAAAAAAAAAAAAAGGCCAGGCACAGTGGCTCATGCCTGTAATCCCAGTACTTTGGGAGGCCAAGGCAGGCATATCACTTGAGGTCAGGAGTTCGAAACCAGCCTGGCCAAAATGGTGAAACCCCATCTCTACTAAAAATATAAAAATGAGCCAGGCTCATTAGCATGTGCCTGTAATCCCAGCTACTCAGGAGGCTGAGGCAGGAAAATCACTTGAGCCTGGGAGGCAGAGGTTGCAGTGAGCCGAGATCACGCCACTGCACTCCAGCCTGGGCAACAGAGTGAGACTCTGTCTCAAAAAAAAATAAACAAAATAATAACAAAAAATTGTAGAGGTGGGATCTCCCTTTGCTACCCAGGCTGGTCTTGAGCTCCTGGGTTCAAGTGATCCTTGTGTGTCAGTCTCCCAAAGTGCTGGAACTACAGGCACAAGCCACCATGCCTGGCTGTCCACCTGCTTCTTATGTATAACCTCCACGTGTGCCTGCCTAGTTCCCTTGTTCCTGGCATGGGTAAAATAAACAGGAGGAATCCTTTTTTAAAAACCTTCCTTTCTGGGAGGTGCTAGACCCTTCTACCATCAAATCTTGCTGGTTTGTTTTCATTGGCTCTAAGCACTGCCCCGCTGACGCGGAAAGACCTACACATCCAGGTCTAGCCCAGGCCAGAGAGCCTCGTGGTCTCTCATAGGGGCCAGCACGAGATGTCCTCACAGGGAGGCTGAATGATGGGCAGGGAGTTCTGCTTCCCCTCGGGGCCTCAGTTTCCCTGTTGGGATGAGGAGGGTGGGCGTGGACTCTCAGAGCCACCTGGGACTGACGTTCTGCTTCTCTAAGCCCTGGGTCCAGGTCCCTTCTCTGCCCTGGAGTAGCCGTCTCCCAACTCCTCATGGAGCAGATGGGGGCGTGGTGGCCGTGGGGTGCACTCAGTTGACTGTCCTCATCCCCAACAGGACTTGATCTTTGACCTGGGTGACCCTGTGAGGTGGGAGTACATGCTCCTGGGGACTGATAAGTCTCAGCTGTCCCTGACTGAAGAAGATGACAGTGGGATAAACGATGAGGATGATGTGGAAAATCTGGTGAGTCTCAGCAGCTCAAGAACCAAGGGAATGTGTGTGAAGGCTTCAGGGAGCCTGACAAGTGTCCCCAGCAGCGTGTGTGTGGCAGTGGGGGATGGCCCACGTAGACCAATGATCCGTTCCTCAAAGCAGGAAGGCTTGGGCAATTCCCTTATTTTACAGATGGGCACATTGAGGCCCAGAAAGGCCAGTAACCTATCCAGGACCTCCCAGTGGGTTAGAGAAGGGACAGGACTTGAAGTCAGGTCTTCTGCCCCCCATATCATCCACCTTGTTCAGGAGTTGCCCTGCTCCTTTAGAAAGATGCCCCTTGCCAGCCTGGGCAACATAATGGGACCCTGTCTCTACAAGAAAATTTAAAAATTAGCTGGCTGTGGTGGCATGCACCTATAGTCCCAGCTACTTGGGAGGCTGAGGCAGGAGGATCACTTGAGACTGGGAGGTCGAGGCTGCAGTGAACTGTGTTCCTGCCACTGCATTCCAGCCTGGGCAACCCCACCCTACCACAAAAAATAAAAATAAAAATAAATTTAGAAAAAGACAGTTGCAGAGCGGGGTCATAAGACCCCTGGGAGTCCCGGAGCTGGCTGTTCTCAGTTCCATCCCAAGTAGCCATCATGAGCCCCACACGCTGCCAGGCCTTTCTTGTCTGTTCTGTCAGTTCCTCTGAAAGTTGTTGGCCAGGGCCTTACCCACATCACCAGCCTCCCTTCTCGGAATTCAGTTTCCGCCTTTATGTGAAATAGAGGCAGAAGGGTCATAGTTGTATTCGTAGTCATTCTAATAGGTGCATTCGTCTGGCATCACAAAGCACCACAGATGGGGATGCTTAAATGACAGAAATTAATTTTCTTACAGTTCTGGAGGCTGGAAGTCTGAGATCAAGATGTGGACAGGGTTGGTTCCTTCTGAGCCCCCTGTCCTTGGCTTGTAGACGGCTGTCTTCTCCCTGTCTTCACACTGTCTTCCCTCTGTACAAATCTATGTCCCAATCTGTTCTTATAAGGACATCAGTCATATATTTTTTTTTTTTTAATTTTTTTTGAGGCAGGGTCTCCTCTGTTGCTCAGGCTAGAGTGCAGTGGCACGATCATAGCTCACTGCAGCCTCGAACTCCTGGGCCCAAATGATCCTTCCACCTTGGCCTCTTGAGTAGCTGGGACTACAGACACACACCACCACACCTGGCTAATTTTTGTTTTTCAGAGAGACGTGGTCTTGCTATGTTACCCAGGCTGGTCTCGAACTCCTGGGCTCAAGAGATCCCTTTGCCTTGGCCTCCCAAAGTGTTGGTATTACAGGCATGAGCCACCATGCCCAACCAACACAGTCCTATTGGATTAGGGCCCACTCTAATTGAACTCATTTGACCTTAATCACCTCTCTAAAGACCCTGTCTCTACAATCATTCAAACAGTAAGTGATCAAGACAACAACAACAACAACAAAGATAACATAAGAAAAATAAATAAAACAAATATAGTCACTTTCAGGGCTTAAAACTTCAACCTATGAATTTTAGGGGGACGCCATTCAGCCCGAAGTAAAAGGTAGCACTCATATAGTCCTTACTAAGCATTGGGATCCGTTGTATCTATTTAACCTGAAGTAACTCGTTAAAATCCCCACAGCCACCTGGTGAGGTGGGCACTGGTATTACCACCTGTGATTAATATGATCCCATTTTACCGATGGGAAGACTCACACACAGAGAGGTTAAGTCACTTACCCAAAGCAACACAGTTGGTAAGTGACAGAGCTGGGATTTGAACCTACACAGTCTGGCTCCACAGTCTGGGTTCTCAGTGGTAACTCTGTTCTACCTCCTGGGGCTGCTTGATGTGATGTGCTTGGCACAGCAGTGTAGACCGCCTGAAAAGGGTGCTGAATGTTCTCAGCGTCCTCATCTCCAGAGACTGGGGACATCTTGTGTGCAGTAAATCTGGGCATAGGCGCCCCCTGCTGGCCGTGGGGCATAGACCAGCCAGGGCCTGAGAGCCCAGCCCTGCAGGCAGCTGGCTTAGTGCCAGCATGGCTAATAAACAGTTCCAGTCACAGAGTCCTGGTCCACCCTGGCCCAAGAGCCCTCGTTACAGCAAAGATGGACAGAGGGCAACCCAAAGAGTCAGAGCCCAGTCATGGACCCCCAGGAAAAAACAGACCCCCGGTGACAGCCCACCCACCTGGCTGTCTTGGAGATTTTTGACAATACTAACTGCTGACTGCTCACCCATTTTTGTCCCCTGCAAAATGTCACAATTAGATAAGCAGGTGTCAGACGTATGAGCAATGTTTGTGGAAAAAAGGTTTTAAGTTGAGAAAGTCTTATCCAAGTTTCTGTGATTATCTAGTTTGAGGACCATTTATCTAGATCAGGCCTTATTTCACAAATGGGGAAATTAAGGCTCAGAGAGGAAACAATAATAGGCCGGGCACGGTGGCTCATGCATGTAATCCCAGCACTATGGGAGGCCAAGATGGGCATATCATTTGAGGTCAGGAGTTCGAGACCAGCCTGGGCAACATGGTGAGACCCGCCCCCCCATCTCTACTAAAAATACAAAAATCAGCTGGGTGTGGTAGGCGCATGCCTGTAATCCCAGCTCCTCAGGAGGCTGAGGCAGGAGAATCACTTGAATCTGGGAGATGGAGGTTGCAGTGAGCCAAGATTATGCCACTGCACTCCAGCCTGGGCAACAGAACAAGACTCCATCTCTAATAATAATAATAACAATAATAATAATAATGTCAGCCAGACAGAGTCCCAAGGCCTTTACAGACATTATATCATTTAATCCTCCTAAAAGATCCAGTTTACAGTTAAGAAAACTAAGGCTTAGAGCAGTTAACAGACTTGCCCAGGACCCCTTAGCTGGTCTTGGAGAGAGGGTGGGGCTTGGGCGCCCTGACTCCAGAAACACCTCTCTAATCACGAAGAGCCTGCAGCCAGGGCAGGGGGTGCTGCTGTCCTAAGCCAGGCAGGTATAGGGAAGAGCTCCCGGCCCAGAGTAGACTCCTCCTCTTCCACATCATGAGTCGTGCTCATGACCTCCAGTTCCCCTGGGGAAGCCAACGGACCACCTTGGCTTGGCTCTGCAGGCAGAGACAGAGCTTTGACCATAACTTCTGCTTCAAGGCCCTGACCAACACCACCTCCCCCACCCGTTTCTCTCCCATCAGGGCAAGGAGGATGAGGATAAGAGCTTCGACATGCCCCACTCGTGGGTGGAACAGATTGAGATCTCCCCGGAAGGTATTTTCTATTTGTGTGTTTACTTACCCTCTCCAGATCCAGTTCCTGGGCCTCCAGAGAGGTCTGCAGCAGCAGTGAGGCAGGGGGACACAGCAGGGAATGCCGTGCTCCACATTTCCACCCTTCCCACCTTCAGCTGCACCCTCTCTCCCTCCCTCCTCCCTTCCTGCCACAAGCACTCAGCTCTGACCCCGAGGCCCTGACACCAGTCAGGCACACAGGGCGATGCAGCTTAGTGAGGATGTGTGGGATGATGGCGTGTGGGCAGCAGCAAGGCCTGGGAACCCAGCCCGTTCCCCTCTCACACTCTTCTACCCAGAGGAGGCTACGGGCAGTGCTCAGATGGTGCGGGGGGTCTCAGGACTGGAGAGGGGCAGGTAGAGAAGGCAGGAGGGCAGGGACTGTCATGCTCCATGTCAATATCTGCTGGTGCCCACCTAGGGAGCACCCAGGCCTATGGGGAGGGCATGGGCCATTTCATCAGGGTGGGAAGTGCCAGAGAGGGTGTCACGGGAACCCAGAGGAGGCGCACCCAGCCCAGCACTGGGACTAAGGCCTGGGGATGGGTGAGCAGAAAGGGGTACCAGAAGTAGGCTAGAGGTCACCTGGGCAAAGTTTTGAAGGATCTGAAGGAGTCAGTCCAACAAGAGGAGGAGGGGATGATGGTGTTTCTGGCAGAGACCTGTACAAGCAAAGGCCTAGCAGTGGAATAGTGTGGTTGGCTGCGGGGCACACCCTCTGATGGGGCTCAAATCCCATTCTTGGGTGGATTTGTGCTTCTGTCTGGCCTGAGAACCCCTCTAGGGCTGGAGCCACCCCTGGTGATTATTCTCCTCGGCCTCCCTGGATCGGGCTTGGGGCCGGAGGAGTTCAGTACACAGAGAACGGGCAGTGGATGGATGAGTGGCTGGGCAGGGCTGGCCCTCCCTTCCCCCAAACTAGGAAGGATAGACCCCAGCTGACTGTGTCCACAGCATTTGAGACCCACTGCCCGAACGGGAAGAAGGTGATTCAGTACAAGAGGGCAAAGCTGGAGAAGTGGGCCCCGTACCTCAACAGCAACGGCCTTGTGAGCCGCCTCACCACCTACGAGGACCTGGAGTGTAAGGGGGATTGCTCTGGCCATGGCTCCAGGCCCGCCCAGGGGCGGGGGTGGCTTCTACTCTCTCTGGGGGCATTGCTGGCCTCTGTGTGCCTGGAGTAAGTAGCGGTTGAAGACTAGGGGAGCTGGCCTGGCTGCAGCAAACATCCATCGGCCCCACAGGTACCAATATTTTGGAGATAAAGGAGTGGTACCAGAACCGGGAGGACATGCTGGAGCTGAAACACATAAACAAGACCACAGACCTGAAGATAGACTACTTCAAACCTGGCCACCCCCAGGCTCTGCGCGGTACGTGGCTCCCTTTTCCTGGGCTGGCCAGGAGCCTGGGGTAGAGGCCTCACACACCCTGTGGCAGGTGGTATGTGGTGGGAGGAACCAGCATACATATTACACAGGGGTTCTTGGGCAGCCAGCAGTAGAAGCTGCCCTGCCTCCCTCAGCAAACCCGATGTGTGGGAGGTCAGGGAAAGCTCAGAAAATCTAAGGAAATGCGACAAATGCTCCTCCAGGAAAGCTGAAGGGGGCACCACATGCCCGCTCAGTGGTTGGAATCAGGCCAGAACCTCACCATGAGGTCACACGACGGAGGCCACATTTAAAGGAGGCAGTGCCGGGCACAGGGTCTCACACCCGTAATCCCAGTACTTTGGGAGGCCAACGTGGCCAGTTGAGCCCAGTGGTTCAAGACCAGCCTGAGATATATGGTGAAACCCCATCTCTACAAAAAATACAAAAATTAACCAGGAGTGGTGGTACATGCTTGTAATCCCAACTACTCAGGAGACTGAGGCAGGAGAATCACTTGAACCCAGGAGGTCGAGGCTGCAGTGAGCCGAGATTATGCCACTTCACTCCAGCCTGGGTGACAGAGAGAGATCCTGTCTCAAGGAAAAAAAAAAAATCCTGACCAAGAAATTTACAAAAGAAAAGTATGGGGTAATATACATTTTTAAAAATGATCAACCTCATTTGGAGGTTGATATTGAAAAAAAGAAACTAATAAGGTCCCTAACCAATAAAGGACCCATCTTATAACCCCCATGTTGGCAAAGATGAAAAAAATGGTACTACTGGGTATGAACAAGTGTGGCAGCAATAGTCACTCTGTGTCACTGTTGACGGGACAGCAAATTGGAACTTTTATGGAGGACAGTTGGACAAAATATTGATAATGACCACAAAACATGTACGCTTTTGGCTGGGCACAGTGGCTTACACCAACAATCCCAGCACTTTGGGTGGATCACCTGAGGTCAGGAGTTTGAGACCAGCCTGGCCAACATGGTGAAACCCTGCTACTACTAAAAATACAAAAATTAGCCAGGTGTGGTGGCAGGTGCCTGTAGTCCCAGTTACTCGGGAGGCTGAGACAGGAGAATCACTTGAACCCAGGTGGCAGAGATTGCAGTGAGCTGAGATCGTGTCACTGCACTCCAGCCTGGGTGACAGAGCAAGGCTCCATCTCAAAAATTTTGTACACTTTTGGACCCAGCAACTCCATTGCTGATAATTTATTCTTAGCAAATAATGGACAAGAATGAAAAATGCGCAATGCAGATGTTCATCATGGTGTTGGTAATAATCAGAAAAAGTTGTACACAACCTAAACACCCAGCAATAGGGAACTGGTTCCATAGCTAACCTCATCCATAACGTGGGGCTGTCTTCTCCCTGGGCCTGGGGTTGGGCGATCAAGCCAGCAGCCATACTTCCCAGTGCTCATGTAGCTGTCTCCTCCCACCTCCTGCTCCCCACCCAGTGCACTCCTACAAGTCCATGCAACCTGAGATGGACCGTGTCATTGAGTTTTATGAAATGGCCCGTGTGGATGGCCTGATAAAGCGGGAGGAGACAGCCAGGACAATGACAGAGTACTATCAAGGACGCCCAGACTTCCTTTCCTACCGCCATGCCAACTTCCGACCCCGAGTCAAGAAGCTCGCTCTGAGCAGTGCAGAGTCAAACCCCCGGCCCATTGTGGTAAGAGCTCGCCGGGGCTGGGAACAGGTCGCCCTCCTTCTCTGGCAGTTGATGTCACCTCTGAATGGTGAGAGCCCTGGCTCTGGGGTGGCATTAAGGCCTGAGACATATCCAAGGGCACCAATGATGAACGAAGCATTTTACCAAATGTATTAGTCTGTTCTCATGCTGCTATTAAGAAATACCTGAGACTGGGTAATTTATAAAGAAAAGAAGCTTCATTGACTCAGTTCCGCATGGCTGGGGAGCCCTTAGGAAACTTAGCATCATGGCAGAAGAGTCCTTTTCACCGGGCAGCAGGAGCGCGAATAAGTGCGGAGCAAAGGGGGAAACCACTTATAAAACCATCAGATCTCAGGAGAACTCACTCACTATCATGAGAATAGCATGGGGGAAACCACCGCCATGATTCAATTATCTCCACCTGGTCCCGCCCTTGACCTATGGGGATTATTACAATTCAAGGTGAGATTTGGGTGGGAGAACACGAAGCCAAATCGTATCACCAAATGTACCATCCTGGGGTTGTCTGGTGCCAGACTGTGCCCTCAACCATGGGGCCAAGGATGTGTTATTTCCTTATTGTTATGCAAAAATACACACTCATGACTAAACATTTGGAAAACATGTAAGAATGTAGAGAAAAGCAAAAATATCTCAGAATGGCATCTCTCATATATTACCATGGATTATAAATTTGGTTTTGAGAGTTTTTTCTAATGTAATTGAGATAGGGACCTGGGAATTATAGTCCCTGTATTACCCACTTAACATGAAATTGTGCATTTTCCCCTCCATATCGTTACAATTTAGTTGGCAACTGTGTGTAATGGCAGCATGCAAAGAAGCTCTTTCTAGCAGTAAGGGATGTCTAGGGGTCTAGCAATGGAGTAGGCTGCCTGCAGAGGTAGTGAGCTTCCCATCTCTTGAGGTAGGCAAGCAGAGTCTTGAAGGAGCTGAGGAGGGGCCCACCACCATACGGGACTGGAGTGGCCTGTCCATGAGAACCCACGAAATCCATTGTCTGCTTAAGAGGGGCTATTCCACGTGAATCTCCAAACAACCCCAGACTCCAGGGCCCTGAAGGTCCGTTGCTCCTGCCTTCGGGCATGCAGAGAAATCTCTCACACCCTCATCCTTTGCTTGTTCTCGCCTCCCAGAAAATCACAGAGCAGTTCTTCCGCAACCCAGCGAAGCCCGCGGAGGAGGACGTGGCAGAGCGCGTGTTTCTGCTGGCGGAGGAGCGCATCCAGCTGCGCTACCACTGCCACGACGACCACATCACAGCCTCCAAGCGCGAGTTCCTGCGGCGCACCGAGGTGGACAGCAAAGGCAACAAGATCATCATGACGCCCGACATGTGCATCAGCTTCGAGGTGGGCATGGGGACCACGGCGGGCAGGGGTCGGGTGTAGGAGGAACCGGAGCTCTTTGTCTTATTCCAGCAACGTGGGAGAACCTGGACGGGCACTGGTGAATCCTGGCCCCGAAATTCATCTTTGCCCCTTGGGAAAACCAAAAGTTTCCACCTGGGGACCCTTCTCTTTGCAGTTCCTCTGAAAATCTTCCCTTTTCTACCAAAAAAAGAGAATTCAGCAGGCTAAGACGACTCCTCATGTTCCCCACTCCTGGTCAGGGCAAACCTCAGATCCTAGGGAGGCTCTGGGGGAGGGGAAGATTCTCACCACCTCTGAGGGGCTAGCCTTCCTAGTCAAACCCTCACTCTCCTGGCACAGTCCCCAGCTTTTCTGAGTCTTCAGTTTCTCTTTTATTATTATCTGTGTTTTTATAAGTGAGAAAATTAAGGCTCAGAGAGGCTTAGCAACTTGCTCGAGGTCACACAGCTAGAAAGTGGCAGGGGTAGATTTGAACCCAGGTGGTCCTATGCGCCGATCATGGCAGCCTCTCTGTGTTACCGAGGTGGTTGTTGTCCCAGGTGGAGCCCATGGAGCACACCAAGAAGCTGCTCTACCAGTACGAGGCCATGATGCACCTGAAGAGGGAGGAGAAGCTGTCCAGACATCAGGTCTGGGAGTCAGAGCTGGAGGTAGGGTCCTATGGGAGAGTGAGCAGGTGGGCGGTATCTTTGTTTTTGAGATAGGGTCTCGCTCTGTAACCCAGGCTGGAATGCAGTGGTGCAATGATGGCTGTACATCCCAGGTTCAGGTGATCCTCCCACCTCATCCTCCCAGGTAACTGGGACTACTAGCGCACACCACTATGCCTGGCTAATTTCTTGTTTTTGTTTTTGTTTTTTAACAGACAGGGTTTTTCCATTTTGCCCAGGCTGGTCTCATACACCTGAACTCATGCGATCTGCCCTCCTTGACTTCCCAAAGTGCTGGGGTTACAGGAGTCGGGGGTGTCTTCATCACGCCCTCCAGCACTTCTCATTTCAGGTGCTGGAGATCCTGAAGCTTCGAGAGGAAGAGGAGGCGGCGCACACGCTGACCATCTCCATCTATGACACCAAGCGGAATGAGAAGAGCAAGGAATATCGGGAGGCCATGGTCAGTCCCAATCCCTTCCCCAGGCCCCAGCTTTTCCTAGACCCCCCTGGCCTCCAGGGTGGTGGGGACCATGAGGGATTCTGCTGAGAAACCCTCTGTGGGGGATACGGTTATTGATACCATGCGGTCATCCTTGCTGCCGAGCTGACCGTTTCTATGGTTCATCCCAAAGAGTACCTGGGATTTGGGCAAGGTCTCCCCCCATCCCCAGGGGCTGTAGCCAAGCCAAGGCCTGTGGTTGGGAAAAGAATTAAAATTATGTGCCCACCTCTACTCAGGGCTCCCACTGAGGTTGCACCCTGGGTCAGTGGCCCCAGTGAGCTACCTCTGGCTCCAGGCCTGAGCAATCCTGCTCTCCAGCACAGGGAGGGCATTTGGGTTACACCCGCAGGTTGCAAGGCCCCACCTGGTTTTCAGGGCCGGCTTCTGAATCCCTTTCACCAACCAAGTTGAGATTTCTAAAAATAGTTTGGGGATCGTGAGGCAGGACGGTGCATCAGATGACCGTTCTCAGATCCCAGGGGAAGGTGTCTGCCCCCACGTCTCCAACTTCACCACCCCCTGTCTGCAGATGTAGGACACAGTCCCCAGGGTGGAAAAGAAAAGTGAAGGGAGTTACTGGCAGTTTTTAACTAACATCATTAATAACCACTACCATTGACTGAATAAGCATCTGCTGTGGATTGTCAGGCATCAGGCTGCGTGCTTTATAGACATGATCCTGTCAGATCCTCAGAGAAGGAAACCAAAGCTCAGGTAGAGAGACACAAATTCATGTAAGAAAAAAAGAGTTGGCTGTCACCAGTAAACACAGGTCCAGAGGCCGGGCACAGTGGCTCACGCTTGCAATCTCAGCACTTTGGGAGGCCGAGGCGGGCTTATTATAAGGTCAGGAGATCGAGACCATCCTGGCTAACACGGTGAAACCCCATCTTTACTAAAAATACAAAAAAATTAGCCGGGCGTGGTGGCAGGTGCCTGTAGTCCCAGCTACTCAGGAGGCTGAGGCAGGAGAATGGTGTGAACCCAAGAGGCGGAGCTGGCAGTGAGCCGAGATCACACCACTGCATTCCAGCCTGGGTGACAGAGCGAGACTCCATCTCAAAAAAACAAAAACAAAAAAACAAAAAAAAACAACCCACAGGTCCAGAGACCAGCATGCAGGCCCTTCTAAGGCCTGTCTTGGAGGCGCCATGCACCGGGACCTGGCTGTGAGGTCTGGCTTTGTGCTGGCACACTGCTGATGCAGAGCTGGAGAGGTCTGCAGTTCCTGCTGATCCAGCTGACTGCCCCTCACCCTTACAGGAGCACATGATGCATGAAGAGCACCTACGGCAGGTGGAGACCCAGCTGGACTACCTGGCGCCATTCCTGGCCCAGCTCCCGCCAGGAGAGAAACTAACACGCTGGCAGGCGGTGCGCCTCAAGGATGAGTGCCTCAGCGACTTCAAGCAGCGGCTCATCAACAAGGCCAACCTCATCCAGGCCCGCTTTGAGAAGGTACCTCCAGCGCCTTTGTTGGGGAAGGGATCTCAGCATCTGCATCCAGAAAATGGGCCCAGGGCTGTCTGTCCACCACCTCACAGGCTTATGAGGGCCTGATGAGGGGGATGAATATGTCAACGCTTGGAGTTTCCAAATGACTGAGTTGTTCCTCCTCACACTTGTTTATCAGATAGATGAATGCATAGGGAGATGAATGGGTGTAGGTATGGATAGGTGGGTGGGTGGGTGGATGGATGGATGGATGGATGGATGGATGGATGGATG